CCCTCTAGGCAGCATCTCCTATTGGCTAGTTTAGGTGGCTCCCCAGCTAGCATGCTTGCTGTTGTTAACTGTATTCTAAAGTGCCTATCTTTCTCCATTCACTGTATAGAAGCAACTAACTCAGGCTTTCTGGGTCACAGGATTGGTCCTGTGATTTTTCTAGACACCCATAACGTAGGTGTTGGGACTGCCCCAACATCTAAATCCCTTGTGAATCGAGCCTAAAAGACTACATTGGGCCCAGACCCCGCAATGTTACACAAGGAGTCTTTCATAAATACATGTATATGCAAATTAGAAGTAGATCTGTGGGTTTTTATTGCTTGTTGTCACAAACAGACACCCAGGCCTGTTACTTGCTGCCTCTGCTATCCCTCTGAAATGCTGTTTTGTTTTTTAATATTTCTGTATTTTAAATGCATGGATGAAATCTTTGTGTGGATCGGTTTACTGTTTCCCCTCATATTTCAGTTTCACTTTCCATGTTGTGCTACTCTCCTTGACCCATCAGATTTTTTTTCCTTTGTTACACCTTGTATTATACTGTAGTTTCCTAACAAGTAGAATGAGATGAGGAATCAGTGTTCAGATCTAGAGCCAGATTAGCGTTAAGGTTCAGATTCAGTGAAATCTCATGAGCTGTTCTCAACTAGATTTGGTCCTATTGATGCAAATCAACTGAGATTGACAAATCCGAGCAGATTTATGAACCCTTGACTGGAGACAATCTCACAATGTCAGCTGTTCATGAGATTTCCACCAACTTATCACATCTGAACCCGAAACAGAAAATGCAACCCTTTAATTTTGAACATGACCTGGAACATAAAACATACAGGTGGAGTTTGGGACCTCAGAATTACAATAGGAACCATTCAAATCTGAAAGGATTTAGAAGCAAGTGCAAATGGGATAGAACGCATTAACAAAGTGTTCTTTTGCTTAAAAAAAATAAAAATAAAAAGAGATTCTAACAGATTACTAACAAGGATATTTTCCCGAATCTCAACTGGTTTAAATTGGTGTATTCCCATTGGCTGCAATGGAGTTACACTGATTTACACCAGCTGAAGATAAAGATCTGGCCCCTTCTTTATTAAAATCACAAAACACAGCATAACCTGTGAATAAACCATCCTTTAAAGCAGAACTCTCCTACAATATTTTCTCTTAAAGGGTCTGCATGTACATCTCCAAATAAGAGTTATTTCTCCTTTTTTAAACTAACAGAGCCTGAAAACTAGGGTTAGTAAACAAATTACATTGAACCTTTTTCCTGCAAAAAACCAAGGTTTACCAATAAAGATTTGTTGTGAAAACTGTCAGCTTTCTGTGGATAATATTGATTTATTTGTTGAAAAACTGTCCAAAAAATACAAATATTTCAGTTTTTGGCCCAAAACCAAAGTATTTTGACACTAAAAGGCCACTGAAGTACCTCATGGAAGCTGTCATTCCAGTGCCTCATTCTCTTCTATGAAGTAAGGTCTCCAGTCTGACTTCTTCAGTTGTAATACATGATGGCTATGCATCTATCACTGTGCATCACCTCCTCTCAGAAAAAAGGTGAGACTGTTGTGCATCATGGAAGACATAGTCTGACTAGGGAGCCCAGCCCACAGAGGAAAATGAAAGGATGAGGCACCTAAACTGCAGCTCCCATAAGGTACTGCAGTGGCATTTCAGAATCAAAAATATATTTGTTTTCAACCAAACTATTTTTTATTTCAAATTTTTCCACCAAAACCTCAAAATTCTCCACAAACAAAAACCATAACATTTTCCAACCAGCTTTATTAAAATTGTTTTTGCAACTTAGGAAGTAAGCGAAGAGGGCAAGCTAGGATATGCTTTCCCTAATGTATGAACTGAAGTACCTTACCTTATAGATATCCAGGAATCCACACTGATGGTCAAATCGAGTGTACAGCTCATTCAGCATGCTGATCACCTGCATGGGGGTGCACTGGGCACACACAGCTGTGAAGCCAACGATGTCTGAGAAGAGCATGGTAACATCATCAAACTTCCTGGCCTGAACTTGCTGCCCCTGCCACAACCGTTGAGCCACCTCTTCTGGGAAAATAGAAATAAGAAGATCTACTGTCTTCTTTTTCTCCTCTTCCAGAGCTTGGTGTGTTCGCTCTAATGTTGCCTTCAGTTTATCCATTCGTTTCTTCAAGCCATCTTGGGCCTTTGCCTGCTCCCCAACCAATATGACGTCACGGGTAGCATCGTGGATAGGTATGTCAGAAAGATGTAGGCCTCGGCCCATCAGTTCATCCAGCTTGTCCACGCAAGGGGAACCCAAAAACAAAATAGAATTTGACTCGGGCACATGGATCATTTGGCCTTTGACTTCCATCACCTGCAAAATGTAAATGGAGTTTAAAAAACAAAGTTATTAATAAGTGTACATGGACCCTCACTCCACTCTCAACTCAGCACACATGCAATAGGCCAATTGGTGGGGTCTTCTTATATCCTTAATGTAAGCAATAAACATAAACCTTACCCTAAGCACCCCTCTTAAGTTGGCTGTTCCTAGGGTTTCTATCTGCACAACTTCCTATCTCTCCTTTTGCCTTGGAGAGACTCAGTCTTTTATACTCTCAAATTGGATCTAAAGAGACTCATCCAGAGGTGCTGGAACAATTTGTATAGTGGGGGTGCTGAGAGCTAATGAATCAAACTGTAAGCCTGCATATAATGGAAACTACATCAAGCCAGAGGGTGCAGCAGCATCCCTCACACCCATAGTTCCAGCACCTATGGACTCACCTGGTCTGGTTGCCAGGGTGAGTCAGAAAAATAGCCTTGTATCTCTTTGCATGGCTCTACAGCATTATTTTCTGTCACAATGATACCCAAAAATGAGATCCTGGACCCACCTGCTTCACATTTAAATGTGAAAAACCATCACAGTAAAATATGCTTCTTAGGATGAGCATAACTAATTGCAGGGATAACTTAGCTGACACGAGCAGGCCCAAGTTAAAACAAGACAACCCCAAACAAGTACTTGCTGAAACAACTAGCTGTTGTGTATGTTTAGAATAAATAAAGGAGGCAGGAACTAACTAAGCTATTGTGTGTATGTTTATAGTAAAAAAGTAGGCAGAAACATCTTGAACTGATAAGCTTGCCTTATGCAATATGGTCCTTACATACAAGTAGTATAGATCAGTGGCTCTGAAGCTTTCCAAACTATTATACCCCTTTCAGGAGTCTGAGTTGTCTTGCGTACCCCCAAGTTTCATCTCATTTAAGAATTACTTGCTTACACAATCAGACATAAAAATACAAGTGTCACAGCACACTATTACTGGAAATTTGCTTACTTTCTCATTTTAATCGTATAATTATAAAAAATCAATTGGAATATAAATATTGTACTTGCATTTCAGAGTATAGTATATAGAGCAATATAAACAAGTCATTGTCTATATGAAATTTTAGTTTGACTTCTCCAATGCTTTTTATGTAACCTGTTGTAAAACTAGGCAAATATCTAGAAGAATTGGTGTACCCCCGGAAGACCTCTGCGTACCCCCAGTGGTACGCATACCCCTGGTTGAACACCACTGGTATAGATGTTAGCAGCTAGGAAATATGTATATAAAGTCAAGTGTGTAGTGTGTGACATGAATTGGAATTGTGGTATCTTCATATCTAAACCCAAGAGCTGTTACATGCCTAATAAAGTAACTGGAGTGACGAGCTGGAGTCTGAGTTTTTTGGATTCCAGAGAACTGGATGAAGGGTTCTTCCAGAACTGAATAAAGCATTCTGGAAAAGTGGAAAAGTTCTCTGAGGGAATCCCAATG